ACAGCGGCTCCTCGCTTACGGGCAGAGCATGGGCAAGAGGAACCTAGAGAAGAAAAGGTGCCGTTGTGCTTTCTAGGCAGAGCCCAGTGGCTCCTGTGCATCCTGCTGTACGTGCTTCAGGAAAACCAGCTGATGTGTCTTGTGCATTGTTTGTGTTTTCATATAGTTCATTGCATCAGCTGAAGTTACATGTGGGTTTATTTTCTTTTTATTTTTTTTGCAGTTTCACTTGGCTTTGCAGCCAAGTCCACACCAGCCTGGCAACTCACTTCCGTGGTCAGATTGTGGTCGAGTTTGAGAAGGAATTCCGGTACTTGTATGCAGAGTCCAGAGCAGTGACCAGCTTCTGTGTGCCAGATCCTGGAACGTGCCCCTCTTCTCAGAACACCTCCAAAGATGCCAACTCCCTTTTAAAGCCCCCACAGGTGAATGATGCTGAAACCTCGAGCCCCTCCAGCAGCCTTTCCAATGTAAGCATCAGGAGCATAAAGGTGTCTCCCTTTCTGAAAAACTCCAGTGGCAACGTACAGCAGGAAAAGCACGATTCAGGCTCTGACTCTGGTAATAAGAAGGGGAAGGAAGACACATCTCTGAAGCCCGCTTGCCCTAAGCAGCAAGGAGAGCCACCAGACTCGCCAAACAGCCCTCCAAATAAATCCACTGCAGCCTTGTATCACAAACCAAATGTGGCAGCGAGGATATTCTTGCAGCCAGAGCCTTCCCCTGCCCTGAGTTCCAATAAAAGGAGTTATCAAGGGGACGGTAAGGCTAACAGCAGCCACTGCTCCCCACCAAGACCTGAGCAGACGTTGCAGTCCCTTTCAGAGGGTGCCAGCAGCAACGGGACAAGCATGAAGCAGAAAGGGCCTGCTGCTACCTCCAAGGAAGCGCCAGCAGAAAACGACAACGTTTTTTATGGGCTGGAAAAAAGAGAGAGTCCCGGACAAGGAAAATTGGACCTGCTCTCCCCATACGACCACCTAAAACGAGATAAAAAGCCTGTAGTCCCTTGCTATGATAAACTCACGGAGGACATGCTGATGGAAAAGAACAGCGCGTACGGGGCTGAGAAAAGAATGACTCTGGGGCACAGTAAGCTGGATCTGATCACCAAGTACAACAAGTTAAAATCTAAACACATACACAGTCGGTTCGAACTCTGACCCGGGCCTCGAGGTGTCCTGTAGTCTTATTTTCGAGTGGTTGCTTTTCCCCACCAATCATCATATCTGGGGCTTGAAATCAAAATATGGGTGGTGAATTAGTCTTGTTCCTATGAAAAGGTGTCTGTGCTGTTTCTACTATATGCAGATGACTGATTCAGATGCAGTTAGCAAGTACAGGTCAATTTTTCAATTACTATATCATGGCAGGAGAGAGAAAATGACTTAAACATAATCCACTTTTCTGTGTTTTTTACCCATTTGGGAAAGAACCATTTCCCACCAATACCAGTGCTACAGCTGGAAACTGGCAACTGAGGTCTCCAGGGTGAACCCAGGTTCTCCGTGTGCTCATTCCTCTGCCTGTATCCCCATGCTGGAAAGGAAATGGTCAAAGGCGGGATAATGTTGTTAAAAATAAAGGAGCAGTTCTGCTGGAAAGATCTGTCTCGTGGGGAGGTGAGCACCCCTGAGTTTGGAGGAGGTGGGTGCATGGTTGGCACCTGCTCGGGGTTGTCGGTGGCACCCAGGGGGTTTCTGCTCATGGGTGGGATCAGCACACGGGGGGGTGGGGTGGGGGTCTCTGTGGGTCGGATCCGGATGCAGGTGGCAGCTCACCCAGGTCTGGACGTGAGTGGCTCTTCTACAGGAGGTGCTTGGGTGGTGCACATCTACATGGGGGTGACATATCTGCATGGAGGTGGCACATCTGCATGGAGGCAGCACATCTGCATGGGGGTGCCATATCTGCACAGGTGTGGCACATCTGCACAGGGGTGGCACACAGAATCACAAAATCACAGAGTGTTGGTGTTTGAAAGGGAGCTCTGAGGATCATTGAGTCCAACC